TATGCCAAGATGTATAGGACAATGGCATCGGAAAGGAATTCTTACTCTGGTCATCTAAATGATTTATTTTGTGAACTTCTGTGACTGTGTACTAAACAAAATTTTAAAATTATTGATGAAGAATCTCTCCTATTCTTTAAAATGAAATAAAAATAAAGACGGACGTTAATTATCCATATCACCTGGTTACAGTCTGTCTCTGTACATTTAGACTATTTTCGTCTCTCTCTCAGGTGGACATGTTGGGACCTAGGTGGTGACTGCATTCTCTTACCTGATATGTAGGGAGCAGTAGGTAACTGGGGGTCTGTAGGTCTGTAGATTTGGATAACGACCTATGACAATTTCTTCTCCTAGTTATTGTCCCCTTAATAACCTTCTGCACTAGGAAGAAGAGTGTTAGCTATTCTGTTTCTTCACCCACTGAAGAAACAGAAGACAATGAAGTGTCTCAAGGAAGACACTACTCAATAATAAAAAAAAAAAAATCCAGAAGCAATCCTTGAGAGAGGGAAAAGTAAATAGCTAGTGTTTTTCTTGCTGAAGGGAAACCCAGGAAAAAAGAAAAGAAACTTTCCCCAGATCACAGAAATCACTACTGGAGAATGCAGTATAATCCCAAGCACTTGACCTTTTGCAGGCCATTCCCCAAATGTGCTTACAACCTGGAGTTGTTATCAATGCAGACACATCAATGCTCACCTCTCTTCTCAGGCCGGCTCTGTGCTGCATGAGGAGTCATTTGGATTCCTTTGAAGATGGATAAGTAAACATTGCTTAATTCCAACCCTTTCCCTCAGTGGTTATTTTTTCTCCTATTGAATTGGTTCATTGAGAAACCAGGTCAGAAACAGTACACAAACCTGATAATACTCTGTGTTATAAGATGTACATGGTATTGTTTTATTTAGTTTCGAAAACTGCCCGGGGCAGAAAGGAGCTGCTTGATAATTTAGTCTTCCAGATGACTCGAATTCATTATTGCACCAGCTTGGACTTAAATCTGAGCTGGTTCTGATTTGAACTTAGAATTATGACTTTTCAATTCATGACCTCAGGAACAGACATTACTTACAAAAGCACACTGTGAGGTTTCATTTTATTTTTGTTTTTTCTCAGAAGCTTGACAACAGCTTTTACTCACTAGGTTTTCAAACTTTTCCAGAGATTCCAAATAATAAAGCAATTATAGCAAAATGAGTTCAAGGAAGGTTTTGTTTTGTTTTGTTTTGTTTTAAATGGAATAGAAGATCTCTTTCTCTTTCTTTTGGGAGCATAGAAGATATCTTCTGATGTTGACTATATTGAAGGATCAGCTGTGTACTTATATTCAACGTATTTGTAAGCTGATAATGAAAGCCAGCCTTATTCATTTATATTTATAGTTCATACATATTGCTCTGGTGATTTTGTTCTGCATTTCTGGAAGATCTGTACATATTTTAGCTAATCCTATACTAGCTATATGAGACCTGTCGATAAAGATTAAGATTTTGGAGGAAGGGCTTGTGACCATGTAATCACAGTCAAAACCAGAAAGGCAGGGCCTCCCCAGTGGCGCAGCGGTTGAGCGCTGGGTTGCAAAGCTGCCCGCAGCCTCTGCAGCGCCGGTTCGATCCCTGGCTGCTCCCCGGCCACCACCGGAGGAGGGCCCCGCATGGCGCGCAGACCTCTCCTGCCGCCCGCTGCTCTCCTCAGCAGTGTACTTCGGTCCCTCTGCCTGCTCTGCTCCCCGCTCTGGCTCTGGTGAATTCTCTCACCCTCCTGTGCTTCTGACAGTACCCAATGCCTGTATAAATAAATAAATAAATCTTTAAAAAAAAAACAGAAAGGCAGCAAGGGGGAGAAGGAGGGAGAGAGAGGGGTAAGAAAGAGAGAGGTAGAATGAGAGAAGAAGGAGGATGAAGAATAGGAGGAGGAGGAGAAAGAGGAGAGATTGGGATTAGGATTTCCCAACAGTTTCAAGCTTTTCTGACATTTTTCCAGGTAAATTTATATCTCTTTCTCTTCCTTTTCTTCCCACCACTCATTCCAATATTTCACTCTGCCAAAATCTTTTCTTTTTTCTTCACTGGCTCTGTCTTCACTGACCCTTCCTTCCCAAATTCTCAGTATTGTCCTCCTCTTAAGAAATGATCCCTTCTCTCCACAAAACCCCATAGAACTTGATTTTTACCTTTGTAACAAACCTATTTATATTCTGTTTTGTACAATGCTTATTTGTAAGGTCCTTGGAAGCCTGCAGATCTTTATATTTCATCTATTTTACCCACAGAACACTTAACATAAGGTCTGGTCCAAAGCAGAAGCTAAAGATCTATTTGTTAAATGAATCATAGTCAAAGAAAATTTTGATTCCTATATTTATGCTGGAAAATCTGCAAACTAATCTCCATTCCCTTATCCAATTAGTGATAAATTTTCAGTCTTCTAATGTTTTTTGAATCTATTATCCTTTCTCTGTCATTGTTCTAGTATAAGCTCTCAGTTTGGTTCACCTGGGATAACTTTCTGCTTCTAGTCTCTTTTCACCTCTCAGTCACCCTCTATGCCTTCCTATCTATACACTGCTTCAACTCCTCTTCATGTACAGTCCTTTTGGTAAAATAAAAAATAAACACACCCAACCGCAAAATCCAGCGTTCTTCATTACCCTACCACATTACAAACCCTTCCAACATAGACAGCCTTATTTCCCAGTATTGACTAACACAACCCTATACACTAGCCTAATTGGACTTTTCATTGGTTCTGGAAGATTTCTAGTCCCTTCTATCAGTGTCCTTTTGCTCATGTTATTCTATCCACTTAGAATAGCCACATCTCTAGCCTGCCAGCTACAACTCTTATAATCTCATTTGTCTTTTTAAATTTAGCATGATAGAATCTTCCATTAAGTATTCTCTTATTTTTCTCTCCAGCCTAAAATTATAAGAATTCTCTCCTTTGTTGGAAATCTCTGTCTCTCTGTCTCTGTCTGTCTGTCTCTCTCTGTCTCTCTCTCTCTCTGTCATTTCGATTCATTTCTAATCAGAAATACTGTGATTCATCTTCGTCTAATGTACAGCACCTGGCAGAATGCCTCACACATAATTGGTTTCAATAAATATTTGTTTGATTTGAGTCTTTTAAAATTCATTCATACTTATCCATAAAGGGCAAAATACTTTATCTGGTACTTCCCTAATTCTCAATATCAACTTTCAATTCCATTTTATTTCTCACTGTCAGAATTTAAATGTCACTTTCCAATTTCCCAAAGAAAATGAACATCCATTTTTTGTTCTTTTGCTTCATATCTTCAGTTCCTTTTTCTGCCACTTTAAATTTTCCTTTCACTTCCCCTTTTTCAGTTTTACCCACAATACGTAGCAAGCCAGTGCATTCCTAGAACATCGGGCATCGTTCAGATGATCTCAAAACTTCTGTTAGTTCCATTAGACAATGGTTTAGCAAGTTTCATTACTTGAGTGTCCAAGTTTAGCAAATATAACACTTGTGATTCTCAGTCTTTTTTTTAAAGATTTATTTTTATTTATTTATGCATATAAGAACTGGGGTGTAGGCCAGAGGTGGGGGGGGTGGGATGAGAGGACTCACCTGAGACAGAGTGGGGAGCAGAACTGGCAGATCTACTGAAATACATTGCTGAAGAGAGCAGCAGGCGAGATAGGAGAGTTCTGCTAATACCAGTCTTTCTTATTTTTAACTTCATTGTCATAATAAAGTAGTGGAGAGGTCATTGGGCCCCAGGGAGGAAGAAAGCAGTAATTCTTTAGCTGGAGAAGCCTCCCGCTGGGAAGGAATACTTTGAAGAATGGAGAGCAGGATGTGTCTCCACCTACACACCAGACATGCAGAATGGGAATGCCATGGTCTGGGTGTTCAAGGGCAGACCTGTTGCCCTGTCCCTGGTTTTGTTCAGACCTTTGGGGAATATTTCATATTGTTATCAAATTGTGCATTAGCAATTATGTCAATTCCCAAAGTACCTTAAAGGTTGTATGTCAGTGTAATCTCTCAGGAGTATGAATTGAATGAGACAATTTTGGAAAACTACCTACTGTAAAATTTTAACTTTTGTCTGCAATTATTATTATTAGTCAAAGTAATCTGCTCTCAGGATTCCATTATGAGTCACAAGTAGTTGCATTGCTAAGTAAATCTTCTAGCAATAAAGCAGGTCACAAGCAATATCTATTTTCTTCATACTTCTAGCCCATTTCTAATCGATGGGATATGTTAACTAGTGCAGAGGAGAATGACATAGCCAGGAGACAAGAAACTGGTTTTTCTTTGACATACAGTCATGTTCCAAGTGCTTCAGTTTCTCAGCAAAAGGAATCTTGTTTCCTTTAGTCCATGATGCATATCATATTTGTTTTACAAATCTTATTACCATCCTTACAAAAAAGATAGGGGACAAATATTTTTATTTCTCATATCTGAATGGAGGGACTAACAAACACACTGCAGATTAGAAGTAGAAAGCCATTTTGTGTGCCAAACAGACCTGGCTTTAAGTCTTTCATGGTCACTGAGTATCCATGAGACCTGGAGTAAGCTCACATTTCTTCACTGTGAATGTGAACATATACTTAGTCTCCATCTGAAAAGTTTGTTTTGAAGAATCAATGAGAAGCATGTATTGCTATGTGCAGAAGAAAGCACACGCATTCACAAATATTCATTGTACATGCTGGCACACTATAAAAAGTAAATGTGACTACTATTTTTATCATTATGAAGCACTTAGTTTTTCAATATTGCAGCCATACTATCCAATACATCCCTGTTGGTGGGCTGGAGCCAAGTACTAGATTCCACCAGTACCTTCTAGCCTGCCATGGAAACTAGACCATGATCTATTGTTGGCCTTTGATAACCTCTAGGTATGTTTATACTGTGGCCAAAAGAGTTGGAAAGAAAGCTGTGGGACATCCTTGTTCTTGCCACTATATTTAAATACAAGGTACTTAGCAATCAGGCCATTTTCTTACCTTTTGTTTGAAGGAAAAAATCAGACCACTTAGCAATGCCTGGCCTGTAGTGAGCGCTCAATAAATATCATCATCATCTCCTTTGGTGGCCTGAGTGCTATGTTGTAAAGCTCAATCCTGTGGAAGGAGCAGACACAGAAATAGGTAGGCTTTATTTTTTTAAATTATAACTATCGTTACTACAATGACACCATTATCGTATATTGAACCTTGTTTTTTAAAGAAGTTTAAAATTGCAGAAGACTTTCAATAGCATAAAGAACATTCTAGTACCCTTCATACAGATATATCAATTATGTAGCATTCTCTAAATCCTTCTCCATAATATACATATATATGTATGTGTGTATATATGTACATCTTATATGTGTGTATTTATATGTGTGTGCATATATATATATATATATATATATATATATATATATATATCAAACAAGTATATGTTCTTTTTTCACATCATATATTTTGGCATCATACCTTCTCCAGAATATAGATAATCTCATCATAATCATCAAATGCAGAATCAATATAATACTGTGTGCCATCACTGACTGTATTAAAATGTCACTAGCTTTCCCTGACTATATCATTATGGCTTTTATTTTTTCTGATTCAGTATCCAAGTTGAACTCTTTGCCATATTTATTTTACTGTATCATTCCCGATATCTTATCATACTGGCTGGGGTTTATCTCCTTGTTCAAAGGAGCTTCTTGAGTGTGTAATGCAAAAGTCAAAGACGAAACTTTTATTTCTAATGAAGGGCAAAGTATTTTTATTAAATATAGATAATTTTATAATATAAATTTGCTTTGATTCTACAACAACCCCCCAAAACTTAATTTCCACCGCTTCAGTGAAGGTGACTTCAAGTCTTTTATGATGAAAGAGATAGGAGGCATATTCTCCTTCAACTGGACCCAATTGCATGATTTGATTGTGAATGGTGTTCCTACGAAGTGCCAGAGTGAGATTTAAATTTAACCATGAAATGGTTAAGATATCTGGAAAGAACTACATAATTGTGTGATTCCATTTATATGAATTATCTAGAAATGGCAAGTCTATGGAGACAAAAAGCAGATTAGAAGTTGCCTAAGGGCAGAGGCATGAGAACTGGTATTGAATGGAGGATCTTCTTGGAGTGATAAAGAATGTTGGAAAACTGGATTGTGCAACTCTGAAAATTTACTACTAATCATTGAATCATATGATTAAAACAGGTAAATTTTATGCTATATTTACCTCAAAAAATTATTGGATGGAAGTGAGGGAAGAGGGAAAAAGGAGCAACGCAAAAAAAAAAAAACAAAAAAAAAACCAACATAGAAATGCTATCTATAGAGCAATGTATGCATATTCCAGTGACTCCTTCTGAAAAGGTGACTGAGAACTGTTGCCTGTGGCTGCTTTTTTACCTGCACCCTGTTCTGAGTGGCAATAAAAGTTGCAAGTTACCTAAACTATTTAAGTAACTAGAAAACATTTCATTTCTTCACTGGCAAGTGGAAGGGTGTCTTACACCATTTGTTTCCTTATATAAAAATCCTACCTAAATTCATGAGTACAGCCTCCTGAAACTGTGATACGAATTAAAGAGATGCTTTGAAAACTTTCAAATTAAAAAGAACCAATGGGATTTGCTAAACTTATCTTTCTGACCAGTGACTCTGAAAATGGTTAGCAAGAACACGTCTCCCTATGAGAATAATGTCTTACTGGTGGTAAGCTGGAGGGTTGGGGGTGGGGCGGGGGGTGGGGAGGAACATCATGCACATTTAATTACATAAAAAGTGTAAATCTTAAGAATTTTTGAATCAGTGACCTCAAAATTATTTTGGTGACTTTATTTTTTTCAAATAAAATTAGGCAAGCTTTCCAAGCATCCTTCTGTGGCCTGAATACCTACTTCCTCTAAAAAGCATTAAGAAAACTTCAATGGAGCAGCAAGGCTCTAACACTGGGGGAAATGATTGATTTCACTTGAACACCACCACCAACAAAAATGTTTAAAAACAGTTTCACGGCTCAACTTTCTCCTTGCTTTTTTTTTTTTTACTCTTATAGTTGGAATGTATTTTATCGTCTGTCAGTTTTGCCCTATGATATGTCCTCTTAAATTGGATCTGTAAGCCCTTCATAAAGTTTAATAAATCTTCAGCATTTCACCCTAAGGAAATTATATTAAAAACCTTCAAATGTGAAGTTGGGCCCGCAGACACACAGCGCTGGGAATTTTATCACCATAATCAGCGTGTAATGAAAGCCTCTGTCGCTGTTCCTTCCCAATCATAATCTGCCTGTCTTTATGAAAAAAGGGGGGTTTGTCTGGGTTCATCTGCAAGCTTTAATTGGAAGATGTCTTCATTTCATTCCAGCCTACTGGGATAATAACTCAGCCCCGTGTTTAAACACAGGCCCTTGCCGCTGATATTTTTTCATTTAGTAAAGCATGTCTCTTTAAATGATTTAGCAAATCATCATGAATGCCAAGCCTGGGTGATTGGCAGCTCATTGCTGGTGCACCATTTGCATGACATTTGTTCTTCAGCTAAGAAAGCTGCCGCAGGTAAACAAGCAGGCCCTGTACTGACTCCCTTTGAGTCCCTTCCTGTTTATTTTCTCATAATCAAATGACATTTATGGAGAGGCAAATGCAGCTGCACATATATGAGGGAAATGCAATCAGGCTAAACATGATGACTTCATTCAGGTGATATTTTGATTAGCGAAAGGATATTTTTATGACATAGGGGGCTTTTTTATCGAGAAATCTGGCAAATTCCCTTTTGTATAACTAACAGTTTATATTTTATCTATATTTTAATGTAAAGACTGGACTCAAATAATTGATTGACTGGGTATTCAGGTATGAGTATTTCATTAAAATCTGGGCAAGCATCAAGCAGCACACATAAGGCAACATTCTTTGTCCCATTCAGAAGAAAATAGCCTTTTCTCCCTTCAAAGGAATAAAAAGAAAGAAAACAAGACAATACAATATAAAGCTACTTTATGGCATCAATGAATACAGCTTTTCCTAAAGGAGATTTCAGAGAGGAAGTTATTTTATAGTTTAACACTTACATGTATTTTCTGACTCACGGTCCTACTGAAGGGCATGGGCAGTGAAAACACAGGATATTTTTCCTTTCCTTTTAAAAGATCTTAATCGTAACACAAATGTCTTAGTTAATGTGATTGAAGTGAGTCACAAAGAGCAAGCTAAATGTTAGTAGACTTGCTAGATATGCAGGCGTTTGTAGGCCTTAGCAGAAAGAGGTAGTTTTGTTCTGGAAAGCAGTCCCTGCAGTGTAGGTAGATGCAATCTTTCCAGCCTCCTCAGCAACTAGAGTTGGAGACCAAGGTCATTTCAACTCTGTAATGGTGATGCACTTTCACACCTGCTGCCAAATCCTTCCTAAGGAGTATCTCCATCTCTAGAGCACCCTCCCCCGCCCCGGTTATTTATGGGCTGTAATAATTACTCTAGGAAAAGGATTGACTTTATGTTTTACTTCCAGATGATGGAGGAATGCAGAAGTATTCTTGCTTTAAGGGTGAAAAGTAATTCTAAGCAATACAAATTTCTTTCTCTTTTTTGTCATTGTGATTTTGGGTTCCTATTCTGGACAGATTCCCTGTTTCTATCATTCATGAGTCTTAAATGGCAAAAATGATTCATCCAACCCACAAGTTCTAGAATGCACCCGTCTATTAGGACTGAGAGGAGAAATACTGCCCTAATACTATGCTTATGGCTGGACACCCCACTATTCAGGGACGAATTGAAAGAGCTAATTTTAAGGGTACAGGAGTAGGGGGAAAAAGCCAACGTCTAGGGCCTCTCTTGGTGGTGCAGCGGTTGAGCGCTGGGCTGCAAAGCTGCCCACAGCCTCTGCAGTGCAGATTCGATCCCCGCCAGCGAGGGTCCCACATGGCATGACAGACCTCGCCTGCCGCCCGCTGCTCCCCTCAGCAGTGTATTTCATCGGTCTGCCTGTTCTGCTCCCTGCTCTGGCTCTGGTGAATTCTCTCACCCTCCCGCACTTCTGACTGTACCCAGTGCTTGCATAAATAAATAAATAAATCTTTTTTTTTTAAAAAAAGCCAACTTCTAGTCAATGTATGACTAGAATGAGAGAAAATGTCTAAATGATCATAGTCTATTGGTCTTTTTCCGCTACACTTGAATACATAAAAAGTACTCCTCTCATCAACATCTTCCAACCTGAAGGTCAAAGATCTTAAGTAATAACAACAGTGACATTTATAGAACTTTATAACTTTACAAATGTTGTGTCACTTGATATAATAATGTCCGCCATAAGCTCTATATGACAACGTTGAGTGTTCACTGGCTGAAGAAGCTTTAACAGGAACGTGGTTCTTTTGACACAGGGGGATAAAAAGAAATTTCTATTGACAAAGGACTGTATGCTTAGTGGGGGGCACTTTCCCCTAGAACTATCTGTGTTCTTGTACTGCATTTGTATTTTGTCGGTGGGACTGTATATTGTGCCTGCCATTTTAAAAACAAAAACACTGTGGCATGATGAAAAAAACTTTACAATTCTAAATTCCTTTTAAAAGTGTGGGTACAGGTGTAGTGATCAAAGAAGACAACTTTTGAAAGTATATAACACTTACCAATCCAAAGACTAAATTTTTGGTATTCCTCTGAATGTGAAAATTTGATATTGGCTAATACATACACTTGCCAGCATAAAATCTGTGTCCTCACATGGACATAAACTACACGTTGCAGTGAGCACACACATTCAGGAGAACAATCGAGAGGAAAGAGCTAATTGTGCAGCTTGTTGTCTGTTCCTACCAATTAAATACACAAATACTGGATTTTGCCCTCCTATCACAGAAGCATATTTTAATGCAAATTAGAAATGTGGCTCTTTCCTGTCCTAGTTCTCAGAACTAGGGGGAATTTTCTCTCATCCATATCTCTAAGTTCAGAGTCAAACATTTTTTTCTTTAAGAAAGTCAATAAAGCAATATAGAACATAGAGTAAAAATTCTATCACCCCAGTGTTTTTCTTCCAGAAGAATTCTGAGATTCTTCAGATAAAGGAAACGTAAAGTGTCTTCCTGTTTCCGTT